CACGGACTCGTACCATTCATTACTGTGATTATATGAAATAAATCTTTAAAGATATGCAAACAGATATTATTCATACATAATTATCCTTTACCATACACACAAGGTAATACCTGTAATACCTGTAATACCTGCATACCTTTTGTGATGATGGAGGAAATCCCTCAGAAGCCCAGAACTATATATATTGTAAAAACACTGCACAGTTGGTGCGGTGGCTGGGCTGCCGTGCAACTTGTCGCAGGTTCGATTCCCGCACGGAACAACACTTTGTGTGAACCACAAATTGTTGTTTCGGGTCTGGGTATCATGTGTAAGTGACATTGTATGTTTGTAAACGCACCCACGACACAGGAGAAAATCCTAAAGTGGGGCAACGTTATATTTTAAAACGAAACAAAAAAACTAACTCAGCCTCACTGAAACTACCTATCGCGATGATCACCATTATTTCTTATAAGAAGGCAGATAACTTGCCCCTTTAAGAACTGATTTTTCGTTACTCCAATAAATGTTATCTGAGGAATAAAATTGTTGCTGTCACTGTCTTATACAAATATTCTGACGCGACAGCATCATAATTACTCCCCAAGTTTTATCTGACCATTGAAAAATTAGCGATAAATAGACTATTTTATCCCCCATTATTATATCCTTAGCATGTGTTTATTATGCATATATTTCGCTACTTACGTTCTAATTTTAATTAATCTCTTCCAACCGAATTCGGTATTCGTTTCCAATAATATCTACTTAGATAAAAGCTTTTACGTAACTCTTTTAAACGTAACAATTAGCCGATTTTTACGCCCCTTAATCGAACAGCCATTAATGTAAAAAAATCTATTTATAAGCAAATTTGGGAGGGTAGTCGGAAAATAGAGGAGTAAATTAGTGTTGAATATCTTACCGGCTCATTTCAATAGCGACTGTGGAGCGGAGCGCATCAATCAACCGCGCATGACGGCCGTATATTGAAACACTGAGCTATTGCCGGATTTTACCGGGCTACTTTATTTACTTTCATCGCGGTTTTGTTTAGACCTTCAAGTATTTTATAAATATTGGATATTGATGATCCATCAATGAAATATTATTAACATTAAAGATCAAAAGGTTTCTATTATTTTTGATGGAAACTGCTTTCAACTCTCGACTTTGTTTCTCAACAAGCTTTTCCCTAATACCAATTCCTATTTAACTTAATTAATACACCTATTTTTCCTCACACTTTTTTTTAGTTGCATCCGAATTTTCACCTGAAAATAATTAAAACTCCATGCTTATCTTCCATCCTCTCTAAATTTAAAATTACTGAAATATATTATCTTTAAAAATATTTTTTTTATGTGGTATGACTCAAAACTAGCTGACGGAATACCTAATAGTAAACAATCGGCGCCGCCCATGGAGACCCGCAACACTAAAGGAGTAAGGAGTGCGTGTCAGGGATAAGGGCTTCGGATATTCGGCATTGGCCCTCCGTTAACCTCAATCACACGGCAAAACAGGAGTGGTTGTTTCACGCCAGTTTTCTGTAAGGTCGTAGTATCACTGCGATGCGAGAAGCTTGGAAATATCTTTAAATTATACCTAAATATAATCTACACAATGTAGGTAGGTATAACTATATCAACATAATTGAAACTCTATACCTATCCTTGTAAAAGGTCATGATAACTAATTTTATAATAGCAAGCTCGCCCCCTCTTAAAATGGGGTGGAGTAGATGACAGTTGATGTCACGAAGATAGGACACGTCGCTACACGCCATCTTAGCTGCATGTTTTACTAGATTTTTGCCATGGGTCCGTTCGGAATTACGACAAAGGGATCAAAGGTTTTTGTTGTAAAATTTCTGATTAATTAAAACTTTTTTTTTTTTTTTTTTTTTTATAGCCTACCGTGTGTCCCACTGCTGGGCAAAGGCCTCCCCTTTTTCCTTCCAAATTTCTCTGTCTAGAGCGATTTCCGGCCAAGTTTGCCCCGCGTACATGATCAGATCGTCACACCACCTTCGCCGTGGTCGACCTCGACGGCGTCGACCTCCTTCTGGTGTCCAGTGAGTGACAATCTTCGCCCATCTGTCCGAGTGCATTCGTGCGACGTGGCCAGCCCACTCCCACTTCAGCCTGGCTGTTTTTTCTCCGACATCTGCTATTTGAGTTATGGAGCGCAGCGTGGTGTTTCTAACGCGATCTAATCGCTTAACACCTAAAATGCTGCGCTCCATTGCCCTTTGACAAATCTTGAGTTTGGACTTTTGCTGTTCAGTAAGTGACCAACTTTGAGCACCGTAGGTTAGGACGGGCAGGATACACATGTCGATGAGTTTTCGTTTCAGTGTCATTGGAAGGCTACCCTTTAAGTGATCTTTAAAGGCCCAGAAGGTCTTCCAAGCTTTATTAGTAGCAAAAACTTTATTAGTACTCGAAAAATTAATATAAGATATCTTACTAGTAATGAACGCTCATCATAAATAACAAATCACTAGTCTATATAAGTAGGTACTCACTGCTGAGCAAAAGTCCCTTCTCTCATGGAGAAGGTTTGAGCATTAATCACCACGCTTGATAAAGGCGGATTGGCGCTTTCAAACTTTTAGTTAGAAATTGTAAGTCCAGTCAAGTAACCCCACGATGTTTTCCTTCACCGTTTGACCGTCGTATACCAATACACTGAGCAAATACACATAACTTAGAAAACTAAAATTGTTAATAACCAGGTTTCGAAACCGCACCCTCATGCATGAGAAGCGGGAGCGTGAGAGACAATTTTACAAACAGCCATATTTTCGTTATTACATTTTAAATAATCTACTAATATTACAAACACGAAATTTATAATTATGGATGGATGAATAGATGGATATTTGTGTGCCTAGACATAGATTACAATCTGGAATAACACATTGCTAGATCAATTTTTAACACGCACTGTGGGTGTAGCCGCTATCAAGGCAAAATATAAATACAAAATACATGTCAGTTGTTCAAAACTCAATAAAAATAATTAAATCGAAAATAAATTAATGAAGATCTTATAACGCTGTCAGGCTCTTGGGAGACATTTTGCCCGTCATAAAACAAGAAAATAACAGCGATGATGCTGATCTACATAATTAAATAGATAGCCAGGGCCAGGGCGCACCCGGCAGACTTGGAGCGAAGCGAAACGAACACATAAATTATGCACGTGCAGAAATCACGGATAAAGTTCCATTTGAACAACTTGGAAACTCAAAACCTGTTGAAGACTTGCTAATTACAGAGGAGGTTTTAAAGAAAAACCCCATTGTATAATATTTCCCTGAGAACGCGGCTCCTTATTATCAGCTGTTACTAGTACGTCTGGCGGGCGGCAACCGCGTCCGACGGCAGTCAACGTTATAATTATAATGAACACGGACGTGTAAAGACGACAAGCACATCCAACTTCTTCGATCCGTCAATTAATTTCAACTGTATTGTGAAACGATAAAGTTGGGAATCGAATGTGCGTATCTGCAAGTCCACTTAAAATATTTTCGTAAGAAAAATAATGCATGCATTGGCACCATTCCTTGTTATCATTTTTGGTCTCAGCTATCATTGTGCCGATAGTTGTGTTGGCAAATGGGTTAGTCCCCAAAAGCCTCGATAACCACCTAAAGAGGCTGACGTTAGGATGGATGGCTGGACAAGGAACTGATACAGAAGGCAGTCCAGAAGGCAGTCCTCCTTGAAACGGCACGTATTGTGAGGAGATTTCTGTCTCTGGAGCATTAACCACCGGTAACTTGGACCTTGCTGCCGCTGCTGGCTGGCTCCTATTTTTATATATATTATTTTATCGTTTTTTAAAGTAATATTTAAAAATAGAGTAATTTAAATAAATATATGAAGTTATTATAATATTATGTAATTCAAGTTAGTGGGGTGGCTCATCAGTATTGCAGTATATAAGAATAATTTTCAATAGTCAGAAATCGATGCACTCGACTCGACTATTTGTTGAAGTTTGAATTCACCGGCTTGGACGGAATACCGGCGTGACACAATACTTGCTTATTTCGGAACGTGAGTGGGGTTACAGGCGGTCCAAACATTACCCTGATCCAAAATTGCTCAAATAATCATAGAAAGTACATGTAACTCAGAAAAAGTCACATTGGTACTTGCCAGGTTTCGAATCCGCGCTCATATGCTTGCGAACCTCTGGGCCACTGCGACACTTACTACTATATAAAATAGGTGTTCATAATCACGTCGTTTTGCAAGCATATCTCCTTTCACGACGAAAAAAAACCCAAAGTTATTCAATTGCTTGCAGACAGAAGTTTAATAAAAGCTAATGTTTGATTAGAAATTCGATACCAAAATTAGTAAAATGAAAGATGTCAAAATACTAGTTTCACTTTAATAATATTTCACATAAAAATCTGTCTTAAAATTAGACAATAATGTATTTATACATTTTTATGTTTATATTAATCTACAGTTAGTACTTAATTCCGTACCTCATAAAACCTAGGTATATAAGTTCTTACTAATAAGTAATGATGTCAACAGCCCTATGATGCAAGGATTTAAATATGTCGTATTATGTGCCTCAGTGGCAAAGACATTTATGTAATCTAATAAAAAAGAAAATTTGCCAATAGAACCTCATCAAATGCAACGTCAACATTCAATATGTACATTGAATTCAAAATGTATACGAAAGAATTCAATTTTGGTGCAATCCTTTTGAAAAAAAAAAACCTAATTAAGCATCGTCGTAATTAGATAATATCGTCTTCATTTTTCACCTATTGAAAAACTAAACAAGTAACTTTTCATAACAGTCATAAATGTACACTAACCTACTAAAAAGTTTACTGTTTTCAATGTATAAAATATAGCACACAGAACTACTTTAAAGTTTTGCCAAATCGTCCATTCGAAGACTCAAATATTTTCGAACAATGTCCATGGTCCGAGCAAATTCATCTCCCTGGACAAATACTGAAAAGAAACCGAAGGAAATAAAGAAACTAGATAGAACATCGAAGTCACAAAATACAGAACCAAAATATTGTTTTATGTAAGTAAGTAATTACAATCTCTAGTGCTCGAACAAAAATATAATAGACGAATCGTAACATTACCAAGATTCTAATAAATGGTCATAAGAATAGTCATTTCGGTCAAAGCATAATATAATTCCAAATGTTATTGTCGATCAGGGAATACACTTATAAAATTACAAACGTACTTATAGATATAATGCATTAAACAACCGAACACTTAAGATGTGAAAAAGTTTGTCAATTGGGACGGGCGTCCCTTCTGGCTAGTCTGTATTTCTCTGAAGCCTCTATTGGCTATCTGGACATCTGTTGGCGTTCTACAGTGTTTACATTTCATTTCTCGGAGCAACAAACGCCGGTAAGAAGAGGGATGCGCGCGCAGAGATCTCAATCGCGATAGCTTTGAGCAGTCGTTATCGTGATCTACACTGCGAGCACTTTCCTGTGGAATAGTTGCTTCAAGACCTGCGTATTCTTCGACTGTACTTTTAGAATTTTATATTATAAATGTGGCGCGTTGGTCATTTGTCTCAACAGCCTGCTTGACGAAGCGCCATAGTAAATTGCATAGAAGTCACATCTAATATTCCAATTAATACCTCTGTGGAATATCAGCTAGTGCACAGAAGTTTCGTTAGTCTTGTTTGGCGGTCTGACAACATCGTCGTCTTGTTTGATTAAATTTAAGTCTTCTGATAACATTTCTTCGTAGTAGTTGATTTCAGATGATGATTTAAAATCAGTTTCATTGTGTTTACCTTCTTCTCTTAAAGCTCTGTCCTTTACTACGAATGGATCAACCTGCTTTATATTTAACCGTCTTCCACATTTACAGTCAGGTTTAACAAGGCGACCGGCGTTTTTGTATGGTTTAGCAGATTGTAGAATGCAGTCTCTGTAACTACAGTCGGGGGTAAATTGTTCTTCTAAAGTGTCTTTGAGGTATTTATCTAATAATTTATCATCTTCTTGGTTATTTTCATATAATCTATGATAATTATCATCATTTATAAAGTCTCTTTCGAAATTAACGTCCTCAACTCTATTATTTACATCTTTGGTTTGGAAAGGTCTTCTGTTGTATGAGCTGTCGAAACCAAATTTTTTATTACTTATATCATCGTTCCGAATGGGTGACATTTTTGGCTTCAACACATACGGAATTTTCAAGCTATACTTTTTGGGATAACGCCCTTTGTAAGGCGTAACGCTAGAGGGTGTTAATGAGGGAAATTCATTTTGACGAACACTTTCATAGTTTGCCTTATTATTTATATTCCGGTTCATTGGGCGTACTATGGGTGGTTTCAAAAGTTCAAAGTATTCCCTTCGTTCGTCCATTTTATTCGGTGATTGAGGTAGTACTTTTCTTGGAGTAGTATTCGGTACTTTTTTATTAACATGATTAGAGTTTTTAGTATTATCTTTGCATCTAAATACGGTTGGGTCTGCAAAATACGATGCCATTTCTTGAGGAAGTTTGTCAGACAAATCGAATCCTTGAAAGTATGAATTGAGGCTAACCTTGTTACTCATTGGACAAGGAGTTACGATGTTTGGTAAAGCTGGGGGAACCACTGTAGCATACATAATTTTCTCTACTGGTGGTAATTTAAAGATTTTGTTACGAGCAGGTTTCCTAAACTTCTGGTTGAGGTATATGAATGCTCTTTCACTCTGGTTATTCTGTTTCTCTGTAGCATGCTCGTAAAGGTCTTTTTCATCAATGTCACTTCTATTTTTGGGTAACACAGAATATTTCGATGAATTCGTGTTAGAGATTGTATCGCTCGTTACATTGCTTGTTGATTCTGTAGTGGTTTCGTTCCATTTATTTGCGAGCTGCAACAATAAAAAGTTACTGTTTAGCATGTAAACATGAATCAAAGGTATTTTTTCTTAAAGTCACATAAACATCATCCAATGAAAATATAGTTTATGGCTTCAAAATAAATAATAACAATAATTTACAAATAAAGATCCATAATAACCTATATACCTGTATGTATAAGACTTACAATGGAACAAATTATTTGCTTTAAATAATATTTTACAAAATAACAACGTTCCCGTTTTATTACTCACCTCTGGAACACTCGAGGGTACAATAAATCCGGAAACTAGTCCAATACACAAGGAAACTAAAACAACGAATGCATTTCTCATTTTCTACTCCCGTGATAAAATAGAAGTAGGTAAATATAAAAATCTTCAATCTTCACTTTTATATTTGTAATTATTTTTAACTTTTTCGTGTCATTACTATGCGACCGTTCGCTTGTGCCGTAGTTGGACAACTAATGGACTGTTGACATGTCAACAAAAAAAAACAAATGAGTGAAGAATAGAATTGAATCGAGTTTTCTAAACAACTGATTGTCTTAATCATATGATTAATGTTTATTATTGTATGCTCGCTTACTTTGTTTGTAGATGATAGATTTTTTTTTTATAAAATCACTGTCAAGACTGTTCTATGAGGCATCAGTAGTAGTAAACTACTGAAAAATGTTATAGTTTGCTGTTTGTTGTTGGCAGCAAAATATGGAATGATTTTTGTATAAATTGAGTGTATAATATACACTCAATTCACTCAAATCTGTATATCATAGACTAAATCCTCATCCTTTGAAATGGCATTTGTCACTTTGATCAAATTCAATTTGGTAAAACTTTGACAGCACCGTTGACAGGGTGGCTGGACTACTGGTTGCCGCGTATCATGTCGCGGGTTCGATTTCCCACAGGATAACTATTTGTATGACTTACAATTGTTAATATATATACGTACCTACGAGACATAGAAAAACAAAAGTGTGCGAAAAAATTCAATGTTCTGTAGATGTTGTACGTATCTTTAGAACAAAAGCTGGTACTCTGCAACTAAGTAATAAGGCAACAGTGTAGCCACTTTCATCTGAGCAACTTAATGATCAATTAAAAACTTCCTTTGGGGACAATTATAACAAAATTTATTCAACATTAATACTCGTAGCGATCATAGATTACAAAATGATTTTCTTTACTCAAAAGAGCTCACAACATTTAGGATGGTGTATTTACAAAATAGGTTCACTATTCCGTAGCTTAGTTTTGACCAAAGATTGCGACAATTTCGTCCAAGAAGACTTTGACGTCAATGCCGTTCTCGGCAAGGGTGGCGACCTCAGCTTGGAAGACAGGGTTAGCCCACAGAGCGGAGAAGACAGCATCCCACTGTTCGCTCTTCAGGTTGGTGACGGCAGTGCTGAACTCCTCATCATCAGCCATCTTCTGGTCGAAAAGAGCTGACAGTTTGGCCTTGGGGAAGGCGTCGATGCAGTCCCTGATGAAGGAAGTGAAGTCCCGGCCGCTTGTGGAGTGACGAGCGGACCTCACCTCTTGGATGCCTTCTGTAATACAATCAGTTATTAGGTTAACAAGAGTTTTGGAGATACCAAAATTACTCGCACTAGCATTCGTACCATTGGTTATATACTAAATGAATTAAAACATACCAATCATCTGGTTGAACAGGTCAATGAAGTAGTGGATGTCAATGTTGTCTTGTTCCAGGAACTCGATCACCTATGGGAAAACAAGAGATAAATATTTATGAGATTTGATAAAAATGAATTGTTGTAAAGTTAGTATATGTACATTCTACGATTATTTAAACACCACTGACGTACGGTGAGGGAAAACATCGTGAGGAAACCTGGACTACAATTTTTAATTATAAGTTTGATATCGTTAATAAGCTTAGAGCAAGCATGGTGATTAATGCTGAAACCTCTGCGTGAGAAGAGGCCTTTGGTCAGCACTGGGCTTAGTAGGCAATAGGGTGATGATTTAAAACCAAACAGTAAAAATAAAAGAGTATTGCCAATCGACCTTGGCGCCAACCGACTAAAATAGACTGCCAGTTACATTTTGAAAAAAGTAATTCAAAAAGTAGTCCGTTGTAACAACAGCTTTTTGTAATAAAATCTTCAAAAAGAATACTCACAGCAACAAATTCAGGCAACGATTCCATTTCGTAGACTAGATCTTTGAAGTTGTTGGTCCTAATGTAGTCAAGAGCTGCCCAGAACTCGTCGTACTCAAGGTAGTGTTCATTGAGGTGTTCAATTTCATGACCAGCCTCGTCCATGATGATGTCCAAAAAGTCTTCAACATGTTCGTGGAATAGCTTCCTGGATTGAGGAGCTGAGAAGGCGAGGGCCACCAGGGCGAGGACAACGAGTGCTTGCTTCATCATTCTGGTATCGTTTCCTGAATTCTGTGATGCTGATTGAGCCGAACCCGTGTGTTTTATACTTTATGATAAGATAAACTCTAGATGTTCAGTGTGTCATGTGAGATAATCTTTATCTCAAGTGTTTTAGATATTCTTTCGATTTCTATTGCTAATTTTGGTAACGCTTCCATGCTATAATAATACATCTTTATTAAGGCTTAAAAAGGCTAAGGCTAAGGCTTTTTTTTTGTTTTGTATGCAGTAGCTGTTGGTTCACCATTAAATAAATAAATAATTTGCACATTATTACTATTTGAATAATCAAAATTCTAACTAGTATGATGAAGTTGTAAAATATGTTGCGTCATTAACAAAAGTTATAAATATACATTTCAAAATTAATTTCTTTTATATTTTTTTTCAAACTGTGATTTATTTTGTTGCCAATTTCTATGTATGGATAATGAAATTAAAAACAAAACATGTTGTTTAAATATTAAATAATAATATGTTTATTTAATGGTAATAATATCAATATTATACACATGAACATTTTATCTTCAACAGTAAAACATTAATGGTTTGACTAGTTCTGTCCAAAAATCGCAAGGAGTTGCTCAAAGAGTACGCTTATTTCAATGCCATTTTCTGAGAGAGTGGCCACTTCAGCTTTGAAAACTTCGCTTTCCCAGAGAGCTGAGAAGACAGCTGACCATTCCTCACTTTCGAGGTTCTCAATAGCAGTCTTGAACTCTTCATCTTCAGCCATTTTCTGGTCGAAGAGAGCTGCCAGTTTGTCCTTGGGGAAGACGGCGATGCAATCCTTGGTGAATGATGTGAGGTCACGGCCGCTGACGGATTGGCGAGCTAGCGCGTTCCTTTCTACGTTTTCTGTAACAATATTTAATAGATATTAGTTTTATTATTCCTCAACTCCTTGAACTAAATTTATGGATATAGAACGATTTTTGAAATAAGTATAAGCCATTAACAAGATGCATCTTATACCATATAATACTACAGTAACGACGCGTACCGGCTTCACACGGGTGCAATGGCTATACAAAATTTCTCCAATCTGATGGAATGTCTTATATAAATATCTAAATTTTCTAATAAATGGTGAATCAACAGCTACATTATACAAATTTAGCAAAAAAATAGTAACATTGAACCACTTACAGATTCACACGAATAGTGCCAAAATAGTTAACAGCTAAGACCGAATTAAAATTGAAAATATATCAAAAACAGTAGGCACACCGCAAGAACTATATTTAAACATTCCTCTATAATCACTCGATAAAAAAACGAAAATTTTAAAAATTTTACCGCAAATAGGGATAAAGTTACAGACAAAGCGACTTTGTTTTATACTATGTAGTAATATACAATGTTACCATTTCTCGCAAGTTATTATAACACACAAGTCCCATATAGGATGAGTTTATAGCAATTCTGTATAAAATTTTATGTTTGTAAAAGCACCCACAACACAGGAGAAATTTCTAGTGTATGTGCCACAAAATTGGGAAAAATTATTTTCATAACTTACCAATGATATCGTTAAGCATGTCAATGAAATAATGCACATCGATGTTATCGTTTTCCAAGAAATCGATTACCTGTTAACAAAGAGAATAAATAAATTATATGTTTCATATAAACAAACAAATTAAATGTGTAACAATTTTTTTTTTCTATTTGCGCAGACGACACTGTGGCTGAGCAACTAGCTACCGTGCAACGTGTCGAGAGTTCGATCCTCTCACAGAACAACTATTTTTGTAATTTACAAATCGTTGTTCCAGGTCTTTTTTTTTTGTCAGGGGAAAATCATCAAATGACTTCTCCCGCCCAGGGCCGGGCGGGAGGGAGTGTCAGACTCTTACTGACTAAAAACCCCCTGTTCGAGGCCGGGGCCGAGGTCGCGGTGCCTCATTGCGCTTACCCCGGCTGTTGTTCCAGGTCTGGGTGGTAGGTTTTGGCGAAATTCCTATCCCCTCATTACAAAACAAGATTAATCTATAGTCTAGGTTTAAATAATTGATCCAGGTTTTGTATTTAGAATCTTTTTCTCACCTTCAATTCGAAATACGAACTCTTTTAAAAAGCAACCCGAGTAAAAAGTACATTCTATAATAAATTCCCGGGAGTAAAACTTTAAAATCAATGTACGTCTATGGTCATGAAAATTGAACGTGTATTTAAATTTTGAGTTCAAGCTATTAAATATATCTGTTTTAATAAGTCGCAAGATTCCACTTTACAGACATACACGTGCATTGCAAATGCAGACTTAGGAACTATTTACTGAACAACATAATTCAACCCAGCTTCAACTACTGCTTATCGCACTCCCGCATTTTAGCAATGCCCTCAAACAAATTCTACCTTCATACCTGTTTTAAAAAAACATCTTTACATATCATCTATTATGGTTCATCACGTGTAGGGTTACCATACGACAGGCATTTGCCGCATTTAACAGGCATTTTAAGGTTTGGCCGCACGCTTGTTTAAAAAGAAATCGGCTGACAATTGATTCACTAAAAGCAATATTGTGTACTCAAGAAAATTACAAGACTAAGTACATCTTGTGAAGATTTTACGTTTATGTAATAGACAAATATCAGTTAAAAATATCCTATTTTCATTATTATCTGTTCACTTCCTACATCGTTTTGCTGTAGACAGGCTTTATACTGAAAATGTAGGCATTTTAAGTATAATAGGCAGGCATCCCTGTACTTACGTATGGTAACCCTAATCACGTGATAATTCACCTGTCTTACACATTTTGACTATGAATGACACTACCAAGGACATTTAAAACAAGTTAACATAACGCTCATGTAGCATAGAATAAACATAACATAACTAAGTAACAAAATCAATGCTAATAATATTCAATAGGTAGATAAAAGTTACCTACGCAATAATTATGATGCCGTCGCGTCAGAATGTTTGTGTAAGACAGTGACAGCAACAATTTTATTCCTCTGATAACATTTACCTGGCCATGGAAAAATCAACCCTAAATGTTTTAAGTACCTTGGTGTTAGTCATTTGTTTTATAAGCGAACCATCATAGCAGACAACAAAAAGATTGCTATTTATCTTCTACTTTTCTAAAACGTTCTTCTCCTGATCTTAGCAAACGTAGTATACAAAGAAATATCCGAATCGATCAAGCCGTTTATGCATACCTTGACCAAGGGAAGTCAGGATTCATTTTAATATACAGGATGTCCTGTTAAGAATGGATAACCTTGAAATGCCTTTTAGCCATTCTTATGGCCAATCAGAAATAAAAACGAAAAGGAAAATATCATAAGTAGTACCTAAGTTATGATGTTTTGAAGTAGAAGAACTGGTGCTAGAGGAAAAGAGAAAATGATCCTTTAACAATCACGTACTACATTACAGTATTGCATAACAATGATGATAAAATATTGTTGCAAAAATAATTTATGCACAATTTGTCTAAAATAAGTTAAGTTGCAAGTTTTTTATAAAAACTTTTTTTTGTAATTTTATTTTTGTGTAGATTTGGATTGGTCATAAAATTTAATTAAAGGCACTTCAAGGTTATCCATTTTTTACCGGACACCCTGTATATACATAAATAGATACTCACAGCAACAAATTCAGGTAAAGATTCCATTTCGTAAATAATCTCCTTGAAATTGTTAGTCTTCATGTAATCAATTGCCTTCCAGAATTCGTCGAATTCCGAATAAACCTCCATCAGCCGGGACACTTCCTCACTAGACTCCTGCATGATGATGTCGACAAAATCCTCAACATGTTCGTGGAACAGCTTCCTGGGTTGAGGAGCTGAAGACACAAATGCCACCAGGGCAAAGAGAACTAGTGCTTTCTTCATCATTTTCCTGTTGTTCCCAGAAATCTGTGTGATGCAGACTGCTGGTGGCATAATGTTTTTATACTAGGTGATAAGATAGTCAAAAAGATTTATTTCATTTATCAAGACAGGTGATTGAATGGAATGCATTCTTTTTGGTTTGTATAGAACTTCTGTGACCGGACATGCCGTATCTAAAATACCTGTAGTTACCTACTTACAAACTTATACAGATATGTATCGCAAACCCAACATTGCAGTACTACTTACATTTATGTTTAATACTCAATATTTGTCAAAACTATGACCGAAATTTCATTGTACTAGCTTGCATAGAAATGCATAAAAGTACAAAACAATAGATTCTAATTCCAAAATTCAAACAACCTAGAAATCTTTAGTTTTCCAAACCCTACAAACATTCGCGTCAAGTCATACAGAAACAACATTAATACATTTCTTAAAATCTTTCATATTATTAATGTATCCCAGCACTGCCTCGCTGAGTGCAGTGACATGAAAATCTCGCGCTCATCTATGTATTTCATTTTTAACATTAATATCTATAATCACAATTTAATTCCAGTGACTTATGTACCTACGAGTATATCATATTATTTATTCTACATTTATATTTATATTTATATTATATATTTTACATCCCCGCTCGCATCGGATAGCGACCATGAGGATTGAAATTTAACATTAATAAATAATGTCACAATGCATTTATGTGGGTAAATCTCATTTCCTGCATGGCTGACAAGTATTAATTTACCGTACAATATTCATTCGTATCATTTACATCAATTATTGTAGCATATGTCATTTGCAAACATAGATCAAGTACATTAGTTAATGTGACATCAAGCTTCCGTCTATAATTACAATGAGTGCAAAGAAAAATCAAGTGCAACAGTCCACGCCAGTTCGTTCGAATCATATCGACGCGAGTTCATCCGGCTTCATCGACGATTACTCACAACTTCGACTATCGTATTACCAGCACAGAGGTGCTATATTAGACATAACCGACATTTCTGAAGATACATCTGCCGGAGAAACGTTTGAAACGGTGGAAACAAGCTTGAGTGAAACCTCCGTCACCGTCGACGAGAAAGAAGCCAGACGACAGAAACTACGGGATTATTACATTTCTCAAATCCCGGATCTTCCGCATCCATCATACGTCGTGGCATCCATAATCTCGTCAGCATCCCGTAAGATGGGCTCCATTCACCTCAGATATAATGACAGAATCGAACAAGGCAAGCAGGCTCCCGATTCACAAAATGATTTGGAATTTGATCCTGAACGTAGATCGACACTGAAACCCAATCAGTTTCCCGATAAGTAAACGTTTCGCGTGATATTTTGTAATAATTTTTATGTTGAACGTCGGATATGATCATGAATTGTAATTTAAATGCATGTGTGACTTTCTCATTTAATTATTGATAGCGTATGAAGATGATTAATTATACAGATTTGACAACGAAAGATCGTCTTTATTGTGTCCAAAAACATAAAATCAAAGTTCATATTCTGCCAAAAATCCTTAAAATAAAAATAACAGTGTTATAAATCGCTTGGTGAAAAGTTTTGGGTCGTTGAAGGTGCCAATAAAGCTAGGTGAGTACAAATAGTGATGTGCCATCAGATACTGGAGCAAAAAACATAAAAACATATAATTACTGTCGCCCCTGATTTCCCCGGGGATGGCGCGAGCCCGGGTTGCTATAATGGACTTCCTGCATAACTATTCCTACTTCGATTTTATACAATACCTTCGTATTAGAAAAATACACTGTTTTCTTGGGCTTTCTGATAGATTAGGGTGGTATTTCAATACTGGGAAATAAATTGTGAGTATTAATCAATATCAGCCTGGTAGCCTAGTTATTTTTTTTCTTATCTTACTTTTTATGGTTTAAAATAGCAACGTAGTTTGTTTAAGCTGGATATTCACTATATTTTAATTAGCAGCTTATAAGAAAGTTGGAGGCGATGTGTATATTTCACGTGAATAGAAAACTTTATGCTCCTTTTCTAGCGCATCGCATGCAAGAGCAATGAGATTACTTCTAAGGAGTTTATATGGAGAAAGGTTGCAAATAGGAAAAATATATCTACATGAACCATGTATACTCGCGGATCTGTGAATACTGAGATGGCAGTGAGTTTTATATTTAATTTTGCAGTTGCTTTTTACCAAGTATACTATACTAGCTTCAGCGGGCAGCAGTGTCCGCGTAGATTTTTTTTATGAGTTACCTGATGGTAAACAATCAGCGCCGCTCGTGCACACCAAAGGAGTTACGAGTGCGTTGCCGGCCTTTTAGGAATAAGGGTTTCTGATATTTAAGAGTAGGGAAGGGATGAGGGAGGGGTAGGGATTGGGGCTCCAGTAATCTCACAAACACGGCGAAACACAACGCTGTGGTCGTCCGCGTGGTATGTTGAAAAAAAGCATATTTTAGCAAAGCAAAGCCTATTTTCATACCAAAAAACAAAAACTAACATACAGCGATACATTCTCAAAAACTTACACGTTTTTAATATTAGTAGGATAGTTGGAAAGGAGGATGTATCCAATGACATATCAAATTCAAATATATAAATATAGCCATACACACATACATATATATATTTATCCACTTTTACTTCATATATTATATCGTTACATTATTATAAAATAATTATAGGCTATTTACGATATTTATATAATGTGTTTATGTATCAATTACTTGGCAGATATAATCTTTATAAAATTCGTCCTCCCACATCAATATTACTTTCTGGAATGCGTAGGTAGATATTACATGTAATCGAATGTCTCAAACACAAACTCAATAAAATGATTCAAATGAAAATCGATTACATAATCGATTTTGGTATTCCGGAAATGATTGAGTTTGAAATTGAGGTGATGATCATGTGATCATCACCATCATCATCAGGCTATGAGTGTTCATTGCTGAGCAAAGGCCTCTTCTTACACGGAGAAAGTTTGAGCATTAATCACCACGCTTGCTCAAGGCGGATTGGCGAGTTCAAACTTATGACTAGAAATTATACCTAAGTCTTGGTTTGCTCACGTTTTTCTTCATCATTATAGGAGTATCAGTGGTATCTTAATAATTTTATAAAGGAATATTTAATTCGGAAAAAGCCACATTGGTACAGTCAGCGTCAAAATTCGATGACCACATTGAGATTCTCAAAACCACTGTACACTATATCACACATAAATCACTCAACAACGGCCAGTATTAAAATAACATAATTAAAGTTCAAAATTAGAATACTACTCGTCAAAGTCACTGAATACCATTTGATATTAGTTTGAAAATCTAAATGTTTTCATCAACTTTCGATGCTGACTTAAGCTGATTTCGCACCTTTATGAACGACGGCGACATCTCGCGCCCGGCTCAAAGAGCCAATAGACCACCACGGGGCAGCCGGGGTTGCGGGGTAAGCGCAATGAGGCACCGCGACGAGGAGAAGGAACAGGGGGGGGGTTTTAGTCAGTAAGAGTCTGACACTCCCTCCCGCCCGGCCCTGGGCGGGAGAAGTCATTTGATGATTTTCCTTTGACAAAAAAAACTTTATGAACGAGAGGCTGTAGCCTTAACTCTCGGGCCACCACGTCTATTACATCTATAACGCTCATGGTAATTTACTAATAAGTATATCATAATATCGAAATACACAACAAACTCTTAGGTATTGAAAACATTTTCCAGTTTACTCCAACCTGGGCAGCATTGCCCCACGGAGACCGCTTACGATCATGAAAAAGTCTACAAAAATAATGGAATCCTAAAATTCCCTCCACTGGGGGACACTATTTATAAGGTTTTAAGTTAAAACAAACTGTCAAACAAGTAACCCGAGGGAGACAAAGTTTCGAATGGTGTTAAACTTTCCGAATGTTGTCTTTATTCCGTATTTTTATCTAGTACGGAACCAGGATCTTTTATTTTTAGGTAGCTACTCGTGTCCGCCCGTTGTTTTGCTAAAGTCAAAGATAGATTTTTAGGTGATAACATGATACTTTCGATTCTATGTAAGATGTTGTTCTATGTAAGATGTTGTTCTATGTAAGATGTTGTTCTATGTAAGATGTAATTACAATTAAGAGTCGAAATGAGGTACCTAACGACCTACATTTTTACTAATCCACAACCATTGACTTAGTAGGTAAGTATTTTTTAAAATTTCGAAGTAGTAAATGACGTGTGAATTAACACAACCCGATCAGGGTATCATGATTTCCAGCCAAAGTTCATGTCATATGTTGATTTAAAAATTTTAAATTAATAAAACGTGTTTATTGTTTTGGGTACAATAGAAATTTTGCGACGCGGCATGTGGCATTTGGTTGAACCAAGTTCTTTTTAACTCTTCAAAAATTATTTCCCGGATTCTTAAATTGTGCCCGTGATACCATTAGGTCCACCTCCTTTTCCATGGCATAACTAATGTTAAATGCATGTCACTCACATTACTGTAAAGAATCTATGTTTTATTACAAACTAAAACTATAACTGTACCAATTTTCATCAAAATCCATTCAGTAGTGTGTAAACTTTGTAACTACCCATCGCAAGATGTTAAGTAATTTTTATATTTAAGTTCAAGGCGTTAAAGTTATAGTAACAGGCTTAACAGATGTTCAGTTCAGGTTGATATTGATAACATTATCAGTGGTCTGAGAGAAGACGTGTGTTATCAGAATATCAGCCACGTCTAAAGCGAATGACGACGGTGACTCATAATATGTATATATGAGTTTTTAATTTAAAAATAAAAAAGATTTGTAGATGTGATGTTTAGAATTGAGTTGTTTGCTAGGTCAAAAAAAATAATTTTTACTTTTTAATTTAATTTATTATTAAAATACTATAATCGTACTTTCAATTATTAATTTAAGTATATCATATTATTTTCAAATACAGGCACTGCTGACACTTTTTCAAAACTCTTTTATCAATCACTAATTGATTGCTGTTCTGAGTCTGGCTGAGATGCTTAAAATCATAAACGTAAGAAATCAAATAGATTTTGATTTAAATTTATTTTTTTATAAAATAATTAAACATTTATAAATACGACTGGGTGGCTCGTTCATAGAATGGTCAAAATTGCTAATGCTCACCAAGGAGTCTCGAGTTCGATCCTAGATTCTGGATATACTAATTTTAAGGATTTCTTTTTATTTTTTTTGTTGCCCAACCCTAAGATTTTAAACACACTCATGACACAGAAGAGAATCCTAGGGGGATCAGAGTTTAAAGAAGCTTAACCCCTTAAATTTACTTAAAGCAAATTTCGAAAAACACTGAACAATTCTATGCCCTATCCGAGAATGAAGTTCACCACTCCTTAAATAGCCACCAGGCGTATCTCAATTAATAAGATATTCAAACCAAACATGTCATGTAAAACGTAGTTGGTAAAGCAAAATGATTCACGGCTTTTACTCAGCTCATTTAAATAACAACTTTATTCACACGAGCATAAAAAGCAATTTAATATGTAATTAAGTACACCTAATAATTATACTAAGAAGAAGGAGTGGATTTATATAGAACCTGCTTTTACCGACGGATTTGCCTGTGTTAATAATTATAGCCTTTTCATGTCGCATATCGTTAAGAGACCAAAGATGAGAGGGAGACCAAAGAAAATATGGATGGATTGTGTCAGAAGTGATATGGAAGACAGAGGTGTTGTGATAGCGTGACGGGTGACAGGACCCCAAATAAAACGGGACAAGGGCAGGAAGATGATGATGTCGCGAATCGTTAATGACTTTTGTAGTAAAAATTTGGGGGCAAAAAAATGGTGTCAATATTCAGCCAGGGTTGCAGGCCAAGCGCAACAATGTGCCGTAGCCTCAGCTTGGATCAGGAGAAGGAACTGGGGGTTTTTAGTAATTAAGAGTCAGACACTCTCTCAAGCCATACACTGGGCGAAGAAAGACATCTTATGAATTTCCATCTTCAAAACAAAAAAAGTTGTAGCGTATGAGGTCAACAGCAGATTAACTTTCTAATTTATATTACACTAGCTATTGCCTGGGACTCCGTTCGCGTAGAATAATAACGTCCTGCAGATTTTTTGGTATAAAAATTATCTTATGTCCTTTCTTGAGTTCCAAACTATATCTGTACCAAATTTCACAGAAATCTGTTCATTAGTTTGAGCGTGTAAAAGACAGACAGACAGACAGAGTCCCTTTCGCATTTTTAAGATTAGTATAGTATAGAGAATAGATAATGGGATTTGTAAATATCGGAATAATGGCATATTATACTATAATTTCTTATGTACTTATTATATAAACTATGTAGATACAAATAAAAGTGTTGAGTCCTTCTTTCAGAAAGAAGACATAGTCTACGTGAGTGCCAAATGACCCCAGTTTTAGCGATGCTAATTGAAGGATCCTTTCTTGGAGCTGACATCGTCAAGTAGGTGTAAAGAGGGGAACTTAGATGAAACAAAAAAATGTGTCATCTACGAATATCAAAGGCG